GGGGAAGGCTGTGAGTTTGCATCGAGAGCTGTGGAATGCACGCTCTTGCCTGGCGGCGACCCGACGCTCGCCGGCGCTTCGGTCGAGCCGTTTTGGACTGTTGGGCTTGGCGCAAAGCCGCCGCCTCACTGGGCGCCCGCGCCGGCCCCGCCGCGCAGGCGCCGACCCCCTGGCCGCCAGCGCCGACGGCCGGCTGGCTTCCCAGGTGGTGGAAGCTTCCACCCCCCTGGTGGCTGAGACGCTCAAGGCCCTCCTGCAAAAGGCCGAGGCCAAAGCCCGCAAAGGCGGCGGCGGCGCCAAAGCGGCCGCCGTCGCGCCGCCTCCGCCGCCGGAACAGGCGGCGGCGGCGCCGGAGGAGGAGGCCGGCGGCGGCGGCGACGCCGCGGCGGCGTACGCGCGCGTGTTTGGGCGGCTGGCGGCGCAGGAGCAGGAGCGGAGGATCGATGGCTTTGCCAGGATGGCGGCCGGGGAGGTGGCGGGGCTGGACTTTCTGAAACAGGATGTCAAAGAGGCGGTGGCGCAGGTGGGCGTTTACAGGTGTTTGGGGTGTTGCTGAGGGAACGGTCAATCGGTGGATTCTCGGAGGAGTCGGACGAAATCGTCGACTGCTGAAACCTCAGCAAGTGGCGGCTGGGGTGCGTGCATGGTTGGAAGGCGCGCGTGTTGGGCGGGGAGGGGTTGTTGTTTAAGTGGTGGGGTGCGGCGGGGCTGCGTCCGGTGGCACCCAGCTCGGGGGGGTCTTCCATTCGGAGACGGTGGGACTGGGGGTGCCGTGATTCCGCGTGTGTGCAAAGGGCAAAAGGGGGCGGGTGGGGCGGTGACGCTCGGTCTGCGCCGGCGAACGCGTGGTGCGTAGGCGCGGTGCAGAAGGCGGCCTCGATCACACGGCGTATCGGGCACTGCCGCTTGCGGGGCCCGCGGTGAGGGGTGTGTCCTGCGCCGCCCTCGCCGCCGCTGCTGCTGCACTGCTGCTGCACAATGTATCCGCCCGACCTTATCCTGGGTTGCCTCACCAACCGGCCACCCCCCGTTGTGTGCGCCCCCAGGTCCGTCGCGCGCAGCAGCTTCTCGCCTGCTTCCGGGCGGTGGCGGCAATTCACAGGGACGAGCGCTTCCAAGAAGATGCAGGTGTGTGTGTGTGTGGGGGGGGGTGCGTGAGAGAGGGAGAGAGCGGTTGTGTGTGTGTGTGTGTGTGTGTGTGTGTGTGTGTGTGTGTGTGTGTGTGTGTGTGTGTGTGTGTAATACTGGCTTCTCACCGCCTCATCGCGCGCATCTCACTTCTTTTGATTTCAAGTTCTCACCCAAACGGGGGATTTTTTTGTTTGAGAACGTGCGGTTGTCAATGATGTTGATGATGATGATGATGCCTCCTTTTGGCGGCAACCTCCAGACTTGTCATCGGGACCGCCAGCCCGGGCTCTCCCGGCCGCTTTGTCGTCGAAGGGCGCCGCCCGGGCCCCCCTTCCCCCAGTCATGTACTCACACGTGTCACCCTTGACCTAGGCACCCCTGGGAGCACCTCCTACCCTCAACCAGACTTCTCCGTCCCCCTTTCCCCTCAAATCCCTGCTCAAGCACCTTCCCCCTCTCCCCACCCCCCAGCGGACCCCCGTGTGCAGCGGGCTATTGAAGAAATCAAGGAGACGGGCGCAATTGACAAGTGGGTGGTGTTGTGGAAAGCGCGCACTTGATCGATCAGAGACAGGCAGGGGCGCTTGCGGTGTGGCGACAGCTGCCCCGGCTGCCCGCTGGCGGCGCGCGGGCGTCCGCTGTGGGGGTTGGGTTGGGTTGTCCGGCGGACCTCTTGGTAGGTGCGGCACGGCGGCAGGGGGGGAGGGGGCGGCAGATCCCAAACAAGGGCGGCCGCGATGGCTGCAGGCTATACCTCTTCATCCCCTCGACTGGGGTGGCTGCTCCACGTGGCCCCTCCTCGTAGCTGTTATGTCCCCGGGCCCAGCAGCGAGTACGGGGCCCATTGGTGGCCAGCAAGCCGCGACGTCTGATGCGTGCGCATCCAAAACCCCCGTTCACCCTCAAGACCCCACAATCTGTCAAACCCTCTCAAATAACATTGACAACGAAGCTGGCTGTGGTGACTGTCTGATTCGATCCCGCAGGTATGCAACCGACGGCCAGGTGGCATCAGTCATGGGGAAGCTGCGGAAGCTGCAGGCCGTGCTGCGGGACAACGGCGCCGTGCGCGTCGGAATGGACGAGCTGCTGCCCCAGAAGGGCGGCCCCTCGCTGCAGGTACGTTTGACCTGTGCCAGCCGCCTTTGACCGCCCTTGACCGGGGGTAAATCCAGGCGCCGCTCTGAACTCTGCACAACCACCTTGTTCTCCCCTTCGCTCAAAGAACTCATCAACATCCACCCCCATACAAAGCGCACACTCGCAAAACAAAGCCCTCAACGGCGAAAATCTAAAGTATACAACCAACCTGCAACATATGAACCAAAACCAAACTATCCCCTCCAGGAGATGATGGCGGCCGACGCGGCGCGTATCTCAGAGCTGGAAGCCGCCCACGCCGCCGCGCGCGCCGCCGCCGCCGATGCGCTGCTGTCCCTGCCGCCCGGCACGACCGCCGCCCGCGCGCGCGCGCGCAGCGGCGGCGGCGGCCTGCTCGCGCGCGGCGGCGGGGCTGGGGCCGAGATACAGCCCGCTGCCGGCGGCGGCGGCGGGGCTGCGGAGCATGAGCAAGAGGATGAGGAGGAACAGGATGAATTTTCAAACGTGGAGCGGTACAGCGCTGCTGCAGGTGGCGTCTGGCGGCGGCGGGGCGGCGGCAAGCGGGCTGGAAAGGCGGCGAGCGGCGTCACGGTGGACGCGGCGGCGGGGGACAACTCGCTGGATGGCGCAGGCGGGGCGGAGGGGGAGGGGGAGCCGCTGTGGAAGCTTCAGATGAGGCAGGCTGCAAAAGATACGTTGCACAGGGTGAGCCTCGCTTGTTTGGTCTTTCGTGTGGAGGGGCCTTGTAGGGCGGCGCTTGCGTCAATGCTGGCACGGCGAGGGCTCAGCGGGGCTGGCGGCTGGCCGCCGCGT